TGATGCGCAGGGACTGATGGTTTTCAACCGTGTTCTCCCAAGGACAAAAGTCCCTTCCCTTGTTGAACACGAAGTCCTCCCAGCAGTTTTCAAAATCTGAGGCAAGGAGGGGAGAACGCAGTTGGGGCCCCAGGGCTTTCTCCTTGACCCTGCAGGGCCTCCTCCGAGGGCCAGGTCTCCTGAATCCTGCTGAGATCAGGAGGGCTGAGTCCTGGGCAGGTTCCCCTGGGTCCAGCCCCCTCTGCCAGCATCCCCGAGCTGCCACCCCTCACCCTGCACCTCCCCCAGTCCTGACTCCCCCAGTGCTCACCTTGGGGGGATATGATCGCCACCTCAGCCCCTTCCTCATACATTCTGCGAAGCCCATCCTTGAATTCCGGGTCCCAGAAGTAGTAGAGTCGGGCGGTGACGATGGTCAGCCTCACGTTGCGGTGCGCAGCCAGGAAGTCGGCCACCTGCTTCGCACACGCAGGGCAGGGGCTCCAGGACAAGTACCAGGTGACCTGGTAGTCCTCATCAGGGGAGAGGTTGTCATCACAGAACGAGAGAAAGCGCAATTCTGCATGGCAGGAAGGATGGAACTGGGAGGGGAGGGGAGGTCAGGAGAGAGCAGGGGCAGAGGTTAGGGCCGGGCGGGGACCAGGGAGCACCCCAGGACCTTCTGATCAGGGGCTTCTCTCCTCTTAGTCCCTACCCTCCCTTGGTGGGCTCGGTGTCCCCCTCACCCCGCGCTCACCCATGAAGTCTCGTGTGCATTCCCGGCATCCATTCTACAGCCCCTGAGCCTGCTCTGGCCGGACCCTCGGGCTCAGGCGTGTCCCTGCCTGCTGCGTGCTGGGAGGGCACAGACCCTGCCCCATCATGGAGCGGCTGCCACGTGGGGCCACTGAGCATGGAAACGTGGCTCAGGTTGATGGGGTCGTGTGGCGAGTGTGACACGGCTCATGTCAGAGACGACAGGAGAGATGGTGCACACTGCCTCGTGCAGACCCGTGCATGGATTATGCTCAATAATTAATACTAATGATTCAGTCAGGCTTCCTGGGCTAAGGTAGGGACCAAATCTCACCAGCAGCTGTCAGTTTTGTTTGGTTTCATTTTGGGTTTTTTTGAGAGATTTTTGTTATAGGGCATGTGTGCTCGCTGGAGAGACAGAGAGACACTAAGCGAGAACTCACCCCCTGGGGGTGTGGCCACACCGCAATCCCTTCTCCTTTCTCCAATCAGAATTATGGGGGCACACACACACACGTGCCCAGCATTGAGTTTGCAGCTGCCGAACCTGGGACTTGAAGTATGGCTGACCGTCTGGAAGTCCAGTAACATATCCATCCGCTACCTGCTGGTCCCTCTGTCAGCTTTCTAAACTATGGGTAGAATAATTTACCAAACTCATTGGCTTCTGTGGTGTCTACGGGGCAGCACCACCCTGGAGTACTCCACCCAGCACACAGCAGCCCGTACTCCCGGACACTCCCTCCATGTCTCCAGTCTGGGTGGAGAAGGAGTCAGGAGTTTGGGGGACACTGGATGGTGGGATGTGGTCAGTAGGGGACTGCTGGTGGGGCCTTGCTCTGGCAATGGCTGCTGTTGGTCACAGCTGCTCTAGTGGCAGCCCAGGGTCCTTGCCATGGGATCTGAGCAGCCAAGGAAGAAAGGGGAGGGCGCGTGTTCACCAAGGTGTGACGACTCGCCCTTGACTGTGGCCCAGGGCTATGACCGGGGTGGCCCACACAGCCCAGCAGGTGCAGGGCCAGGGGAGGAGCTAGTGCTCAGACCCCAGCCCTCTGAGGTGACTGTCCTAGGACTCGCTGGATACAGAGCTCGGTGATGGGACCATGGGGAGTGACCAGTGGAGACCGGCAGTGGACCCTACACCAGGCCCGTTGTGACCCCTCCAAAGGGATCCGGTGCTCAGACAGTCCAGCAGGAACATCAAGAGCAAAGGACGGCAGAAAACGTGGTGGGAGGAAAATGTAGAATTCAGAGCCCGCCCTGTGGCCCTTTCCCTGTGACTTCTGCGTCCTCCCGGGGAAGCTCCTGCCTGCGGTGTGAGGACACTCTGGCTCTCACCTGGTGTGTGAAGACCCCCTTGTCCAGGAGCACTGTGCCGTGTCGCTCAACTTTGTCCACTCGGTAGCACAGGAAGGTGGTTTTCTGGTTGGAGATATATGTTAGGTTTTGAAAGTGAAAGTAAAATGTGTTTTGAAATAACCGCTCCATCAGTATCTGGGCACAAGAGAGAGATCAGGACTGAGGGGCGCTCCTGGAGCAGGTCCAGGCTGCTGTCCCTGAGCACAGCTCCCTGCCCACCCCCACCCCCATCTCTCAGCCCTGAGAATTTCTGCTGCCTCTCCCAGTGAGGTGCCTCGGGGAGAGGAAGAGGAGGGGATGATGCCTGGGGGGAG